ACCAGAGTCCAGGATTTAAAACTCGCTGCTCTGGAGTCACTTTTTGGTTCATGTTTGATTAAATCTGGTGAGTTTTACCGTCCAGAAACCAACCAATATTATATTATACTAATATAACAGAGAAAATCTATTTTAAAAAAACAGCAAATAGCTGTTTTTTGTTTGTTTAAAATCAGTAAAAAAAAAAAAAATAAACACGATTTTCTTTTAAATAACAGCACATGTCTGTAAAATATACGATTTTTTTGTTCATTCAGATGTAGTTTTTTTTAAAAGCAGAATTTTTACGCACAAACTTTGAAAAAGAAACTAATTACTACTGATTACTAACTACAGTTTCTACTCAGGTAACATGTAAATTAATACTTTTTTCCTGTAATTTCACAAAATAAAATAAAAACAGTGAATGGTTGTTAAATAACTAGTGGCAAATAGTTTTTGCTGATTTAAATACAATAAAACATGATGTACGTTTAAGGTTAAACACATTACAGTTTGTAAAAATACAGAATTGTAATGTGGACATTAATAACTCTTGACTATTGGGTTTTGTTTTTTTTTTTTTACAGTTAACATGTAAATTAATCAATTTTAAAATCAAAATACATCAAAATATGTAAAAGAAAATAAATAAATAAATGTTAAATATGTTCATAATATTTCTTTTAAATAACGGCAAATATTTGTACACAAAAATATTTTTTGGGTTTTTTTCTGATAAAATCTCGTAATTTTATGACCAAACAAACTACAGTTTATAAAAATACAGAATATTGATGTGGACGTTGCTGACTATTGATTTTAACTTTTCACGACTGTTTTTTAGTTTGTTTATTCGTTGTTGTTATTTTGTTTTTTTATTTTGTATTTCTTTTTACAATTAACATATATATTGATAAATGTTCTATTTAAATACATAAAAATCTGTAAAATAAAAGGAAAAATATGGATGTTGTATAATTTTCAAACTATGGCAAATGTTCGTAACAATAATGCAGTTCTTTTTGGTGATTTAAATACAGTTAAAGTAGTGGAATTTTTTTTTTTAAAACATCAATATATAAATTAGAAAATACATAAAAATACATAAAAAATCTGTAAAATATGTTCATATTATTTCTTTCAAATTATGTCAAATATTAGTAAATAAATAAAAATATTTTTTCCTGATTTAAACACAGCAAATAATAATAATAATAATAATAATAATAATAATAATAATAATAATTCCGTAGCGTTGTGCCAGAACCTCGTCACCTCTACACCCACCATCCTCCTGATTTCTACCATCTCCTCCCCCTTCCTCCCCCCTGCTCTCCTCCCCCCTCCCTGTGGTCTCTGTGTGCTGAGGAGACGGAGGGGCTTTTATTTTGGCGAGCCTCTGTCCTCCTCTTCCTGCTGCTGTCGTGGGTCGGTCGGTCGCTCATCTGTCTGTGGGTTGTGGATGTTTCTCAGTGTCGTCCTCCTGCTCTTCCTCCTCTTCCTCCTCTTCCTCTTCCTCCTCCTCCTCCTCCTCCTCCTCTTCCTCCTCGTCCTCCTCCTCTTCCTCCTCCTCCTCCTCCTCTTCCTCCTGGATCCGTCCCAGAATCCTCCCTCCCATCGATTTGTCCTCCTTTCCCTCCGACATCCCAGCCGGCCTCCCTTTCCTTCCCTCTTTTCCCTCCTTCCAGCTCCCCTCTTTTGTCCTCATGAATATTTCAGCGCCGCCGGCCGAGCCAGCCCTCGCTCCGATACGAGCCGCTTAGCTGTGGTCCGGTTCCGGTCCGAGCTAAACAACCGCCCAATAAACAGGCCTTTAAGGAGTCCTGAGCGATTCCCGGAGGCCCCGCCGCTCCCACCTCGCGCTGCCATTAAACCTGGGTATCAATCAGAGGAGCGCCGGGCTATTAATAAAATATGGATCACACCACCAGTGGACGGGCCGGGCCTGGGGAGCTACCCTACTTTCATTAAAAGGACTGTTTGGTTCTCCGCTGACGACAGAATGCGGCCCGGGAGGTATTTTTAGCGCTCGAGCCGCATCCCGCCTGAAAAATAAGAACTCCTGCCTCGGTTTCTTTTTTTTCCCCCATTAGTGCCTTTAATGAATGAGGGTTTTTTAAGGAATTCTTTATTTAGAAGCTGCAGAATCGAGCTAAAGATAGATTATTTTTTTTGTCTTTTCTCCTCCTTTGGTTTTATAAATAGATTCTGGGCCGATCTGGGGCAACACTCCCGGAAAATAAGCAGTTAAGTGACAGATTGTGGCCCGTCGGAAATAGACAGTCGGAAAAAAATGACCCCCTTTTTTTTTTCCTCCAACGTCCTACTGCGGCGCCGTAAAGGACACGGCGACGTGTTTACTGGGTCAGCGCTGCAGAATCTCCGCTGTTGAGTCCCGAAGACGGTTTCCGCGTAAAAGACGAGTAAAGTCTGCGTTTGAGTCGACGAGGACGTTGAAATGTGAATAAAACGAGGTCACGTGTGTTTAAAATGGAACCAGGAGCAGCGTCTGAAGTACATTTTTTGATTTTTAGATCAGTTTAAACGTACATTTCTGATGTTGACTCGACTGTTTTTTGTCAAAAAAGCCAGTTTGAGTTTTTTTGCATTTATTTTACATTACATGATTTATAGTTTTAGTCGGTTTTACTGGGTTCATGTGTAAATTATGTTTGTTAATATTTTCCTACATATTTTCCGTAATTTAGCAAAACAGGAAAAACTACGTTAAAAAAAGCATTTTATAGAATAATGAACTCTTTTTCAATCTTAAAAATATATATTTTTGGGGGAGTAAATATTGGCAAATATCTGTTAAATAACAAGAATATTTTTAGTTAATTTAAACACAGGTTAAAAAATTGCAATTACTACTTGTAAAAATAATATATGTATTTTTTTTTCAAACAGTTAACATGTAAATTAATACGACTAATTAATTTCCTTTAATAATTACGTTAATATTTTTTTAGTTTATTATTTCACTTTCTGTAATTTACCGAAACAGTAAAAAAATGTAAAAAATTGTAAAATAAAATTAAGTTAATAAACACGTTTCTGTAAAGCAACAATAGTATTTGGTGATTTTAAATACAGTTTAAATTAAAAAAGAAAAAAAGAAACAGTAATTTCAAGGTTAAACATTGTGGAGAAAAAAAAAGAAAATTAAAATGTAAAAAATTGCTTATGTTGTTTGTTGTTTTGTTTTAATACTCATCATGTAAATTAATGCGTTTCATTTAACAAAAAGCCAAAATCTGTTAAATATTAGCACCTTTTTCATGCTTAATAAACATTTCTGTCAAATAACGTCAAATAGATGGAAAACAACACTATATTCTGCTGATTTAAATACAATCAAACCGACATTATTTACAGTTTTGGCCTCCTTTAGAATTAAACATGTCAATTTCCACCTTTTTTACAATTATTTTCTGTAATTTACCGTCACAGGAGGTCCAGTAGCATCATTATAGTACCATCACTCTGCTGTGTGTGTCCTCACCGGGAAAAGCCTCTGAGTGGAATCTGTGTCACGGTTGTTTAAAAAAAAACCTTAAAGAGCGTCCGATCCGTCACTGTGAGCCGGTTCTATCAGAACCAGGTGATGGAGGTGGACCACATCCATCCTCTCCTCCCTCCTCCATCCATTCCATCCGATGACCCGACTGTTCATCCTCTGCAGCCGAACCCGAACCCTGAGTGTGTGTGTGTGTGTGTGTGTGTGTGTGTGTCTGTGTCTGTGTGTGTGTGTGTGCTGGGTTCAGGCCCGGCTGCGCTAACATTGTGTTAGCATGTTATTAGCCCGGAGTGCTGCTCCTCGCCGACCGGCCACCCAGACGCGACGCCGCATCGACATTAAATAAAATAAAACAAAATAAAAAAACACGAGAATGAAGCTCCCTGATTGGAGGAGCAGGAGAGCCAATCAGGAGCTGCGATGGTGGGACGTGGGGTCAGGGGGAGGGGTCGTGGTCCTGTTGTTGTTGTTGTTGTTGTTGTTGTTGTTGTTGTTTCCACAGCGAGCGGTGCCTGTGAGCTGTTCTCTGTACCAGCATCTGTTTCTGGAGTTTCATGTTTTTATTATTATTTTTTATTTTGATGACGAAGACGTGTCCAACCCTTTTGTCTTGTTTTTGTTCTTTCTCGTCTCCCTCCTCCTCCTCCTCCTCCTCTTCCTCCTCCCCTCCACTGTCCCTCCATCCCTCCCTTCCTTCCTTCCTTCCTCCCTTCCTTCCTTTCCTCCCTCCTTCCCTACAGGCTGTGCGTTTGTCACGTTTTCCACCAGAGCTATGGCACAGAATGCAATCAAAGCCATGCACCAGTCTCAGACCATGGAGGTACGGTACCCTCGACTCTTTCTGTCTTTTCAGATCGTTTTGTTTTTTCTTTTCTTTCTTTTTTTTTAAAAATCTCTGGTTCTGTTGATGTCGATAACATGTCTGTTGTTGTCACGTTGTCTCCAAAAGTCACCGTTTAGTGGTTGAACTGAGAAGAAATAGTAAAAATCTGATGCAAGAAAAACTAAAAACTAACTAAAATAAATATCTGTAAAATAAAAATATTGTTAGCAGATTTAAATATAGTCGGTTAAAATGTAAATTAGTGCTTTTTTCTTTAAATTTTTAATGTGTAATTTAACGATAAAGATGAAAATCAGTCAAATATCAGTTATAATTACAATAAAATAAGCACCTGTTTTTCACCGTTTTTAACATACATGTACGTTTTAATGTCAAAAAACAAAGTTTTGGATGAAAATTGTGCCGTTTTACACACATTATAAAATAAAAACGACTGTTTTTGATGTCGACTTTATAGTTTGACAGTCAGTGTGTACATTTATATATTTCTTTCCGATTTTTACGAGATATTTATAATTTAACAAAACGGGGAAAATGGGTAAAATACCCTTTTTACAGATATATATTTTTAACATTTAAACACTTCATAAACATTGTGTTTATGTGGATATATTCATATATATTTATGCATAATAATATGTTTTGCTGATTTGGAAAAAAAAAGTTGAATGGTGTAAAAGAACAAATAAATTTTTGTAAAATCACTGATTTTTAATGTGGCGTTATGAACAATATTGACCTGTTGTGTTTTTTTTTTTTTGGTTTGTTTTAAACATTTACCAAGTTAATATGTAAAATAAAAATTTTTTCTGTAGTTTTTTTTTTAATTTGTAATTTAACAAAACAGGAAAAAATTATGATAACAGTAGATTTTTTTTATTTTTTTTTAATTAATCAAAAACAAGTATTGTGCTTTTACTGTGCTGGAGGATCCGGGTTGTTTGGTTTCAGGTTCAGCTCACGTTCACGTTTAGTCATTTTCAAGCCGTGCTGCTTTTATTTTATCGATCCAGTGTGGTTTGTTTTGCTCTCAGGCGTTCTGATTCGTCTCCTTGTGCCAGAATCGGCCCAGAAGCCACTGGACATGTGTCACATGACTGTTGACGGCAGTCTGAGTCAGTCCTGGTCTCGTTTTCACAGAAAAGTTCAGTGACTTTGGTCAAATATTTCAATTTTGAGCTTCAATTTGGTTAATTTCCATCAACGGGACCGCACGTGTTGAGTTCAAGGACTGTTGGAAAGCTGAAAATCTCTCTGTTCAACAGCTTCTGATAAAAGGAGTCATTTTGCAGGTTTTTTAAAACACAGCATGTCTCACTTATGATGAATTTAAACCTACCTTTTATTGGGCCAAAAACTAAAGCACGACCTTTGACCCGGTTGGTAGGAGGCGTTTCAGAACCTCATCGGCCGCTCGGCGACCCCTTTCAGCTGAAAGGTCACCAGATTCCTATCATGTGACTGTCGGTCACTGCGGAGTCACTCGTGGATTCTTAGTTGCGCAGTTGCCTGCAAACTTCAGTGTTTTTGACAGAATCCGATCAGAACCAAAGGTTAATATTTGGCGTTACAGAACCTCATCGGCTGCACAGAGGCCCAAGCGGTGCCAAAATTAGCCCAAAAGTCGCTGAATTTTTGTTACGTGACTGTTGGTCACTGCTGACTCATTCATGGCTTCTTAATTGCACAGACGACTGCAGAATTTATTGTTTTTAACAGAATCTGGTTCAAACTAAACGTTGATTTTTGCAGATTTTTTTAATGAGACAATACAATATCAGGATTTTAAGCTTTTCTTGTACACGATGAGTTCAAGAACTGACTATTCTGTCAGATTTTACAGTTTCTGTTACATTATTTTAAAGCTGAAGATCTGATTCTCTGCTTTTACAGTTTCCTGCTTTGATAAATCATTTTGCAGATTTTTTTAGATGGGATGCTTTCTTTTATTCTCCCCTTTTTTTTTTTTACATCATAAATTTTCAACCTCTGGCACCGTCTCAGAACCGAGACCAAACAAAGCAGCAGCACCTCTTGACCCGGCAGCCACAGACTGGCAGGTGGCGCTACGGGACCCCGGCGGCGTCGTGACGGGGACCCGGACCGCGGCTCCTTTGTGCCGCCTCCGGTTCTGGGTCGCCCTCGTCGGCGCTGTCGGCCCGGCGTGACGGGAGCCGTGATTTGGGAGAGAATTACACGTTAGGAGACGAGCGGAGACAAAGCAGCGCTAATAACAGGCTGCGCTGGAGGAGAACCGGAACGCTCACCCCCATAGAACCCTCGTTAGAGCCGATAATCACGCCGCCCCGCCTCCTCCCCGTGTTCCCGCTCTTTTTATTTCCTGTCGTCTTGTCCGTCTGGCAGAAGCAGTGGAAGCATTAAGCCTGAATTATCCTCGCTGTGTGCCCGGTAGACACCGGCTCGCTGTTATCACGGAGAAGAAGAAATAAAAGCCCACGACCCGGTGATGTTTGAGTGGACAACAGCAGAACGGCTTCATTTCCATTTGAAAAGGAGCCGTCTGGCCTCAGGCGCCGCGAAACCGCCGCGTCCGTCCGTTAATGCTCCTCAGTTTGTGCAATTTAAAAGTAATTACTTCGGGTCCGAATGAGCGAATGAGGTCCTGGTGAACGGAGTCGGGTTGTTGTCGACCCATTTGTGGGTTTTTTTGTGCCGTCACGTCGCGTGGCCTCCGTGGTGTCCGCTCTGGTTCAGCAGCAGCTCTGATTTTTTTTCTTCTTCTTCTGTTTTTATTCCGGCGTGACGCTAAAGGGGCAGTTTGGCCTCATCCTGCCCTCAACTCGACACGACGGCGTGAACTCAGGAGCGTTCAGACGTTCAGACGTTTAGTGGAGCGTGAGAGGAAACGCAGCAGCTTCTGTTTAAACAGCGAAATAACACGTCTGTCGACAGCAGATCGGATTAGTTCGAGTTCTAACGTCAGTCGGTCCGAATAAAAGTCAAACGGACCCTGTAAAAAAAGAAGAAAATGAAATATGCTGTTAGAAAACGCCGGAAATCTGGAAGGAAGGAGGAAAAATAGCAGCAAAGATATGTAAATAATGATGTTTAAAAGCAGATTTGAATAAACTTCAGCTGTAATTTATAGTTAGACGTTATTATCTGTAAACATCTGAGTTCGAGTTAGACATTATTATCTGTAACTATCTGTGAGTTAAACCTATTTTTTGTTTATTCAACAAACAGGAAAAATCTGCCAAATAACAAACATTCATTTACATTTATATACATTTAATTTCTTTAATTTTTCAATATCTGTAAAATAATTTGTTTCCTAATTTAAATAAAATAAAACATAGTGTCATCTGGTCAAAATTTTAGGAGAACAAATTAGCACAAACAGATTTTTAAAGGTTGTTTTTCCTGTAATTTTTTGTGTTTATTTTTTGTAATTTAACAAAGGAGGTAAAAATCTGTAAAATGACAGAATTGGTCACAAAAATACAATTAAAAAAAAAAAAAGTTTTAATGTGAATTTTTTACAGCTTATTTGTTGTAAAACTGAATTCTTTACGTCCTCCATCCGTCTGGAGGCTTCACTTCATGACGCTGTTGAATTGTGTTATTATAAAAAGAGCTGTAATTTGTTATTATAATGATAATTAATGTTATTTCTCTGCTCTGGTCAACAAGACAAACAGACCGAAGCAGAAACACGAGCTCTGAAACGAGCTTAAAGCTGAAGAACGGCTGACAAACGAGACCTAAACGGGTTTTAAACTGGGATCCGTGAGGCTAAAGTCGGACCGAACCGCCGCCGGCTTTCTGCAGCGACTAAAAACGCTTTGTGTGGATTCTCTGGAGCGACGATGACGCCGTTCAGGAACAGAAATCGTCTTTTTTTAAGCTAAAAACCAACTTCAGTCGTTTCACTTCCTCTGATCTGGAGGCCAGAGGTCACAGATGGAGTCTAGAATCGATCAAAACGACCAAATATGATTTTATTTATCAGCTTTCTGCCTTTTATTAACGTGGATGTGAACATTTTTGAATTAATTTGCAGCAAACCAAACACACAGAGTCCTATCTCCTCTCAGACGTTCTCTTTTAAGACGCCGTAATTATTTAACGGCGGCGATAAAGATTCAAACAGAATTATCAGCGTTCAGACCCGTCGAGGCGACTTTGTGGAGGAAGCAGCAGGTGGTCCAGTAATTATTTCCAGAGTGTTTGTCTGACGTATCGGATCATCGGATTAGAACCGGATCCACTTCGCTCTGATGTGGTCTTTAACAAATTACATTAGTAAACAGACAAAACACTAAACAATCCNTTTGTCATGAAACTGTGCATTCGTGTGGATTTGAAGCTCAGAGTCGAGCTCGTCGTCGTCGCTCCACAGGGAGGCGAACTCGGCCGCTCGGGGAACCTGCACCGACTCGTCTCCATCCACTCGGCTGCTCTGCAAAGTCCCGGCTCTTCCCCTCGTCGCCTCGTTTCAATCAAAACCTCTTTTCTTTTTCTTTCTTTTGTTATCCTCCTGTGGCAGGTCGCCTCTTGTTTTCCGACGGATTTGCCCCGAGTCAGGCTTTGATTGTGTGATAGATTACCGAGTCGCTGCAACTTTCATCGGGAGGAGGTTTTTTTTTCTCTTTTCCGTGTCGTGTTTGCGCGCCGGATGCCCGACGTTCACCTCCGCGTCCACCTCCACGTCCACCTCCACGTCCACCTCGACCTCCACTCCTCGTTCATCTGGGCGGCTCGGAGGACTTTGGACAATTAGATCCGGCGCTCGCGATTGTCCAAATCTGTAAAATCTCCCGTCCTGCCCTCTCACTCGCACATTAACGCTGCAGCACACTGGCATCGAGTCTCTCTTCTCGGCGTGAGATGATGAAATAGTTGGAGAAGTCAGGAAATCTGTTTCTGGTGAAAGCGCTCTGGACTCAGAGATAACTGAGCCCTTGTGGGGGAACAGCGGCGGCAGCAGAAAGCCCGACGGCTTTAGAGCCGAC